TGGGGATAGGGTTTACAGGGGAAATGCTTTAAAGATGATGGAGGTTGGGGTGGGAGGCTATAAGGACATTTAAATAGGGTGCAAACCCTTGAAATTAGCGCTTCATTCAGACAGGAGAACTCGCCGAGTCCCAGCGTATGGACTTGTCGAGTAGCCATCCCCAAATGCGCGATAATCCCAACTCAACTCGACGAGTTGGGCTACAGACTCGTCGAGTACCGCCTTAAAAAATTGAAAGATACTTTATTTAAATTACATACCAGAAATGGGGCGTTACAACTCTCCCCCGCTTATCTTAGACTTCATCCTCGAAGTCTGCTATTGCTGAATCTGAAAATAATTCTGCATAATGCTCCTTCATCTCGCCCTTGGTCTCCCACATCCACTCTGAACCCTTTCGGTGCTATCACTGCACTGTCACCAACTGAACCACCTTTTCCTCAAGGTCTTTGTCTTTCGATCTAAGATTGCCACTGGTCTCTCGATATAATTCAGGCTGCTATCAACCTAAATATTCTCCAAGGGTAAAACTGCTGACTCATCCACCAAACACTTTCTCAACTGAGAAACATGGAAAGTGTTGTGGATCTGGCTAAGCTGTGCCGGAAGATCCAACTGATAAGCAACCCGAACCACCCGGGAAAAAACCCTAAAAGGATTAATGAAACTGGGGCCCATCTTGCCCCTCTTCTAAAACCTGGTAACACCCTTCCAGCGTGATACCTTCAGGAGGACCATATCACCCACCTGAAACTCCAAATCCAAATGCCTCCTATCGGCGTAGCTATTCTGCCTACTCTGCGCAGTCTGCAATCTGCTACGAACCTGCTGGATCAACTATGTAGTCTTGAGCACCACCTCGGTGCTCCCGATGACTCGCTGACCAACCTCGCCCCAACAAATCGGGGTCCTACACTTCCTTCCATAAAGCATCTCGAAAGAAGGACGGTCAATGATAGCATTGTAATTGTTGTTATACGAACATTCCGCCAATGGAAGATACGTATCCTAGCTACCACTAAAGTCTAGAACACATGCCCGGAGCATGTCCTCGAGAGTCTGAATCATCCTCTCGCTCTGCCCGTCCGTTTGGCGGTGGAAAGTGGTGCTAAAATGAAGACGAGTCCCCATCTCGTCATGGAACCGCTTCCAAAATCTGGAAGTAAAACGAACATCTCGGTCTGACACCACCGAAACAGGCACTCCGTGCCGTGCAACTACCTTGCACACATAGATGTTTGCTACCTTGTCAGCTAATATGCTCTACGGTATTGGTATAAAATGCGCTCTCTTGGTCATCCGATCCACTATGACCCAAATTGAGTCCACTCCCCATGCGGTCCTGGGAAGCTTAGTGACAAAATCCATGGTAATGTCCTCCTATTTCCATACGGGAATGTCTAACAGCTGCATCTTGCCATTGGGTCTCTGGTGCTCTACTTTGACCTTCTTGCAGGTCAGGCATCTCTCTACATACCAGGCCACATCCCGCTTCATGCAAGGCCACCAATAGTCGGGTCAAAGATCTCTATACATCTTCGTCTCCCCTGGGTGGATGGAAAATCGAGACTTATGGGCATCGTCCATCAACACCTGCCATACTCCTCCCCAGTACGGTATCCAAACCCTCCCATGAAGGGTCAACAATCCCCGACTATCATAATCAAAAGAAGCTACTTGGCCCACGATCCTCTCACACTTATGCCTCTCTTCCTTGAGGCCCTCGACCTGTGCCTCCTTGACTTGCTCCAACAATGGAGTAATCACTGTCATCCTCAGGCATATATCCCTGATCAGGGCTGCCGCCGCCATGCGGCTCAGGGCGTCAGCTACTATGTTGGCCTTCCACGGGTGATAAAGGATCTCACAATCGTAATCCTTCACCACATCTAACCACCAACACTGCCTCATGTTAAGATTCGGCGGGTCGATGAGGTATCTCAGACTCTTGTGATTTGTGTAGATGGTACAAAGGACCCTATAAAGATAGTGTCTCCAAATCTTGAGGGCGAACACCACTACCCCCAACTCCAAATCGTGTGTCGGATAATTAGCCTCGTGAGGCTTTAACTATCTAGAGGCATAAGCTATCACATGCCCTCGCTGCATCAACACTGCTCCCATCCCTGTGATCGAAGCGTCATAATTGATTACAAAATCATCCACTCCCTCTGGTAGGGTAAGATTCGGTGCCTCGCACAATCTCTGTTTGAGGGTTTCAAATGCCGCCTGCTGCTTAGGCCCCCAACGAAACATCACCGACTTCTTGGTCTGTCGAGTGAGTGGTACTGCTATCTTGGAGAAATCCTGGATGAATCTCCTGTAGTACCCTGCCAAACCTAGGAAGCTCCAAATCTCAGATGGAGACCTAGGGACCTCCCACTGTATCACGGTCTCAATCTTGGCCGGATCCACTAGAATACCCTTCTGGTTGACGAGGTGACCATGGAACTGCACCTCGTGCAACCAGAACTCACACTTGGAGAACTTCACAAAAGGTCTCTCCCTCCTCAGTGTCTCTAGCACCTCTCTCAGGTGCTCCTCGTGTTGCTCCTGAGTCTTGGAGTAAACCAAGATGTCATCAATGAATACTATCACACACCGATCCAACATCGGTCTACATACGCAGTTCATGAGATCCATGAACGCGGCTGGAGCATTTGTGAGCCCAAAAGGCATCACCACAAACTCATAATGACCATAACGGGTCCTAAAAGCTGTTTTCTGAACATCCTCACCCCTAACCCGCATTTGATGATAACTGGAGCGCAGATCAATTTTGGAGAACCAAGATGCTCCCTGAAGCTGATCGAACAAGTCGTCTATCTTCGGGAGTGGGTAACGGTTCTTCACCGTTACCTTGTTCAACTCCCGGTAATCTATGCACATACGGTGCGACCCATCCTTCTTCTTCACAAACAGGATCGGGGCTCCCCATGGTGATCTACTTGGTCTAATGAAACCCTTGTCTGGCAACTCCTGTAGCTGCGTAGAAACCTCCTGCATCTTTGCAAGAGCCAAATGATACGTTGGCTTGGCTATCGGAGTCGCACCAGGGACTAGGTCAATCCTGAAGTCAACATGTCTCTCCGGAGGTATCCCAGGCAAATCCTCTTGTAATATGTCAGGGAAGTCTCGCACTACCGGTACATCATCTAATGTCGCCTTGCCCTTCTCCCAGGAATCTAGAACATAGGCGACGAACCCTTCATAACCCTACTGAAAGTACCGCCTCGCTCTCGCTGCTGAGCAAAGAATTGGTCCGTGCTGTGGCCTCTCGCCCTAAATCACTAACTCTCCCCCAATTGGGGTGTGGACCCTAACTAGCTGTAGCTCACAATCAATCACCGCCCCATTGGGGCTCAACCAATCCATACCCACTATAACCTTATTCCCTCGTAGGGGAATAGGAACCAGGTCTACTGAAAACTACTCATCGAATAACTGAAGCGAACACCCCTTATGCATTCTTGTGACCCTGACGGTCCTGTCATCAGCTATCTCAACCTCAAGTGGACAATCCAGCTCCCCCGAAGCTCTGCTAAACCTCTTGCTAAGCGTAAGCGAAACAAACGATCGGGTAGCCCCCGAATCAAATAAGACTATAGCTGATATGCCGTTCACTAAGAACGACCCTATATATAGAAACACATAACTATAAGAACAATCAAGAATCAACAATAATAAAGAGATGAAAGGAAATACATACCCTTCACCACATCAGGAGTTGCTCGTGCCTCCTCTGCTGTCATCCGAAAAGCTCTACTCTTTGCCACTGGCGCCTCACTTCATCCCTGACGGCCGTCTATAATCCTCAATGTTGCAGGGGTAGTTGCTACCACCTTCCCTGCTGTTGCTGTCAAACTCGGACACTGGAACTTTGATTGCAATGGAAGCAAATCAGATCAGATGTTGCGGTAACAGTGGGAGTAGCTGTACAATATCTGCTCATATGCCCAGTCCGGTCGCACTTGTAACAACCGGGACTCCCTGGCTTGCAGGTCCCATCGTGCAATCTCCTACACTTGCCACATCGACTATGGCTCTGCTGTCCTCTAGATCTGTGATCTAATATCTTGGGCTTCTTGCCCAAACTCCCTGTACCCGAAGCCACCTCCGACTTCCTCTTTTTCTCCATCTCAAGGTCAATCTCTCTCTCTCTCTCTCTCTCTCTCTCTCTCTCTCACTCTCACAAGCCCTAGCAATCATGTCATCCAACATTTTACAGCTGGACCGACTCACAAACTAGTGGATATCACTCCACAATATCTCATGATATTGGGCCTTCTTCATTTCCTCATCAGCTGCATATTGAGGAATGAGAAGAGACCTCTCCCTGAACTTGGCGGTAATCTCCGCCACCGTCTCTATAGTCTGACTAAGATCCTGAAACTCCCTAGCTAACTGTTGCACCTCAATGACCGGTGCAAATTCGGCTCTGAACCTGGTAGTAAAATCAGCCCACGTCATAGCATCAAGTGCTGTGTCATCCCTGATGACATGCCCAATATCCTCCCACCAATCTTGTGCCCTGTCCTTCAGAAGATATGATGCTAATCTGACCTTGTCCCCCTCGGGACATCTGCTGGTGCGGAACGCGTTGGCAACATCTGCCAACCACCTAGTACTCACAATGGGGTCCCGCGCCCCATGGTAGTCTGGAGCTCCACAAGCCCGGAACTCCCTGAATGTGAGTGTGCGCAACCCTATCATGGCCGCTATCTCACCACGGAACGTGCTCAACTTCTCATCCATCATCTCTAAAATACCCTCCTTGATCGAACCAAAGATCACAGGAGTTTGCTCAAGTATGATATGGGTAGCCTCTGAAGTGAAAAACTCCCTAGTCTGCTCATCCAAATGCTCAGCCCCCGAGCCTGATCTTGATCCCTCCCCGACACCTGATGTAAGTCCCAAATCTAATGATCTAATTCAGTAATCAATGAAGTTGATTGCAATAAAGGAGATATGTAGAACAACAAGAACTAAAATCAAGCATGCACACATCTATTGCTTGTAAATGTCAAGTACATCTTGAGAAAAGTACTACTACAACAGAGTTCTGACACGAAGCAAAAAGTACAGACTTACACAAGTCAGTTGCTTTAAATAGTACCCCTCCTATCAGCACAAGAGTGTGCAGCCGTACACATGTGTGCGGCCGCACACACTGTGTGCGGCCGCATACACATGTGTGGTAGCACACAGTACATGTTTAAACACAATCCCTACAAAACTGACACTATCACTTATACAAAATGATGCCTAGCTCAAACCAAAAAATTATGTTCTTTCAGTATCCTCCTTGGTTTGAGACTAGCATAGTCTTGTCTTCACGCCTTTGGCTCCTTAACAGGCTTCTCAAACAACTTCAGATCTGATCTCCCCATCGATCCCATCCACAATCTTCCATTTATGATCGTAGCCACCATTGCAGTGAATTCTTTAGCAGCAGCTTCCATGACATCTTTTCTACAAATGATTTGATGACGGGCCAGAGTTCGTATATCCCTTTCTCTGAAACGAAGAAGTATTTAGCAATAATCAATCTCAGAACATGTTCTCGATCCTTGAATTTGATGGCTGCAGTACCTGTTTTGTCATCATATGCCCAAAATTCCATGTCATCCAGATATCCCTCATGAAAATGTTGAGGAATAGGAATTTCCTTTTGTTTCTTAATTGCAGGCCAGAGTATAATCTTCATGTGTAATAGCCCGAAATTTCCAGGTATTTATTATTGGCTTATTTTTGGAAATTGTGAGTGGACTCGGCGAGTTGGAGCTCAAACTCGCCGAGTAGGATTGCAGTTTTGGGCACGGGTTCGCGTCCGGACTCGACGAGTCCAAGAGTGGAACCCTAATTCCCGGGGTTTGAGACCTATTTAAAGGGCCTTATAACCGTCATTTGTGCTCACCAATCCATAGAGAGGAACCCTAGAGTGCTTGAGAGCTTTGAGTGAGAAAGGAAGCCATTCTTGACCTTTGTGGGTTTATTTAGCAAGGAGAAGGAGGTCACAACCAAGAGGAAGCATAGGAGATTGCTATACTGTGGATTTGAAGCTCAGATCTTCGAACTTGAGGTATTATTTCAGCTCATCTTCTGTCTTATGAAGTATATATGAATTTAGGGTTTCTTGTGGACCTTATTGGGTTGATTTGATGCCAAATAGTCCCTATCTAATGTTGAGGCTTTGGATCTGGATCCATAGAGGTATAGAGAGCCTCACTCATCAAGCTTTATGAAGAGCAATGGAGATTATGACCTTGAGTTGTGGTATTTGGGACTAAATCATCATAAATGGTCATATAGATGTTGTATGTGCATCAAGATAGTAACTTTACGTGCTATATAAGCTTGGAAGGACTGGATCTATGAGTTAATGGACCGGATCTGACCTTAGGTGCGAGTTTAAGTCATTGCATGGAATGGACTCGTCGAGTCTGAAGAACAGACTCGGCGAGTAGCATGATTATTGCCCAGCACCACACAACGAATGGTCTTGCTGAGTTGAGGGTTGACTCAGTGAGTCAGGGAGAGTCAGAGTGGGTTGACAGGTGGATTGAGTCAAGCCGGGACTCGCCGAGTTGTTCTTGAGACTCGGCGAGTTGAGTCGTGGTGGCCCCACAACTCATGCCAGGTGGAACTCGTCGAGTTAGGAGAATACTCGACGTGTCAAGAGAGGATCCCAGGGAAATCAGTGTATACACTTAGACTCACCGAGTCGCTATAGTGCACTCGCCGAGTCCGGTCAAAGTTGACCGTTGACCATTGACCAGTGTTGACCTATGTTGACTTGTTAAGGGGTAGTCAACCTTAGTTGGGAAAGTGTTAATTAGAGATGTATTGTGTTATAGGAGGACTATAGCTTGGGAGATCGAACACTAGTGATTTCAGGGATTTACGAATTACCGAGACACGCGAGGTGAGTCTTCTCACTATACTTTACCTTGAGTAGGTAACCAGAGTTATGTGACAGAGTATTTGTATGCTATGTATGTTATGTGTTGTACTACAATATTTGTATGTGATTATGTTGTGCATGTTTACAGAGTTAGAACCGGAAGGTTCACAAAGTTAGAACCTGAGGGTTCACAGTGTTTGGGTGCACGGACCCACAGTGTTATAGCCTCGAGTGGCTAATAGGTGTTATATGTGGTATTTTGGGGAAGTCACTAAGCTTTGTGCTTACAGTGTTTGATGTTATTTGTTTCAGGTACTAGTAACGACCGCGGGAAGGCGCCGACTTGATCCGTACACACGCATGGGGTTTATGATTTTGGAGATCTTGGGATTTTGTATTACTTGAATTGAATGATTAAATATGGTTGTTTTCTGAATATTAAATGAATTATGTTTTATAAAAATTTGAAAAAAATTGTTTTAAAATTTACAGTGTTACATCATGGGTTTGCCTGATTCTGGGTCAAGAACATCTTTGTCTTTTCTATATAGGGCTTTTGCAGTCTTAATTGATGGAAAGTTCTCTTTGACCTGTCTGTCAAGAAATCTTTTGAAATTTGTAGCACTAGGATCTTCAGAGGGGTTATGGAATGGGGCCCTGGATAATTCAGCTAGATCAATTTTGGTCCAAGAGTTGAAATCATCGGTGCTTTTGTAACATTCAGATGCTCCTGATTTTCGCTTTACAACCCACAAATTCGTCATTGGATCAAAGGCCCACATTCGGATACCTGTCCTGTCACCATACTCATCACCGAACTTTCTTTTCTTCAAATCCGTTACTGTCAAGACATGGTCTCTTGTTTTGCGATTTTCATTAGAACTTTTCATTAATAAAAGGCCTTCGCTTTGATTTGCAGTTACGATTCTTTTGCCCTGCTTGATTGTGATTCTGGCTCTGCTTCCTTCTGGTTCTTTTTCAAACCTGTTGACAATTGTAGTTGTTCTTGGAGCAGGTGGGTTGACAGGTAGATCATCAGTTGCAGGAGGTGATTGAACAGAAGGAGGATCAACTACTCCATGAGGCTGTTGGAAGAGGGCTTTGACTTTTTCACCAAAAGCATCATACAATACGTTCTTGAGATTAAAATAATTAGCTAGAACAGATCCAAGACTCGTTTGTAGATCATTGATTTGTTTGGTCTTTTCTTCATCCTTTTCCCTGAGCTCAAAGATATGTGCAGAAAGCTGATCCATTTGAATTGACTTTTCAATGAGCTGTTGGCGGAGAATTCCAATTTCCTCTCGGAGATCAGACGAAGAAGATTTGTCATCATCTGACCGACCCTCGTTAAATGATATTCCTTTCCCGCGTGAAGAGGTTGGACTAGATTGAGCCATATGTTTTACTAATATGATAGAAGCTTCATCTAGAGAAGGTCAAGTTGGAGAATATTATGGAATGGAGGAGGATCCACCAGTCTCGAACATGGTACTTGGACCTTCATCAGTCTGCTTTGGAGGAGAGTGAGCAGAGGTTGCAGTGATTGTTGAAATAATTTGAGGAGCACATCTTACAGAGGGTACCTCCAGACTTTCAAGAGATTGGCTTGTTCTTATCGAAGTCTGAGAAGTCTGAGGTTCAGTTAAGTTAGAAATGACTGGAGTTGATGTTGAGACAAGTGAAATAGAGGGAGGAATCTCTGATGTCACATCTCCTTGGCTTGTTGTGTCCTCCAAGGGCTTTGAGGTAGAGAGTAGAATTTTGAGAAAATTTCCTTCATCTCTAGTCTTGGTTGCTAAAGAAGCAAGTTCATTGACTTTATTTACACGGCTGCTGGGAATATCAAGAAAAGGATTAAAATCTTCATCACCAAAATCAAACTCTATGTTTGTTTAAATGTCGTTATTGATTCCTGTAAAGTCGATTTCTTTCAAAAAATCCACATCTTCATAAAAATCATCGTCATCATCCTCTCGAGAAGATTTTGAATCATTTGCTTTCTGATTATCATGCTCATCAGCTATATAAGCTGTGGGAGAGTGATGAATCTCCTCCACTTCAGGCTCGGAGGGAGAGTGAGGAATATCTTCATTTTCCATTGGCATGGATTGTTCTTCTGATTCTTCTCTAACATCCTCTTTAAAAATTCCAAATTTTATTAATGGAAATTTTCCTTCAAATACCAACTCCCCGCCTCTCTTTTGTTTCATTAGTCCAAAGGCACATGGACCAATGGATTTGAAATCCATAGTATCATTTCCTCTCTGCAGCTCGGGGTGAATTACGTTAAGGATGATTTGTAAAAATCTTGGATACATACAAAATTTGTCTCTTTTGCTCCCTTCAAGATTTAGTATCATTTCATTCATTATAAATTTTGAGAAATTGAACTCAAAACCTGCTGCCAATGCTGCAATGGCACAAGTGTTGGCCAGAGAAATCTCATTTGCTCCTGATCTCTGGCCAGAAATGCAGCTTACGAACACATGAGCCGAAAGCTTCCAGCATGGAGGAAGCAACTTCTTGATTGTAGGAGGAAAAGTTCCTTCGTATCCCATATGCTCTAAGATTTCCTCAATTTGATGAACGTCAATCTCCATGGGATACTCAGGTTTGTCCTCAATTTGGATAGATTCTTTGATGATGCTTTCTGTTACTTGAATTTTCTTGTCTTTGATTGTTGCTTCCACAAAATTTTCACCTTGATCATTCTTCTTTACAACAGCATTCCTCCAGAAATCCTTAATCAAACCTTGGTAGATAGTAGGATTTGTAGTTAGGGCATGAACCAAGCAACATTTCTTCAAACCATCCACAATGAATTTTAAGTCATTGTGGGGCTGTAGGAGGATCTTCAAGAAAAATTGAAGAATTGTGGACTTTAGCGAACTCCATGTCTCCCATTTTAATCTGAAAGGCAACACACAAAATTATTAGGGCAAAACTATGAGAATGATGTAGCCGCACACGGAGTTACACACAGCCGCACACGCACGTGTGCAGCTGTACACAGTCAGCCGCACACACTCATTCATAAAATAATGTGGCCGCATATGGTCAACCGCACACGCACGTGTGCGGCTGGACACACCGTGTGCGGTTACCCTTGAAGACAAATAATTTTTTATGAAGATTCAACAGCAAACTATAAAATTTTTTTGAAAATAATCGAAAAATCAGCCATGTTCATGAGAATTACCGAGTAAAGGCTTTGATTTCACAAAAACTTAATGGAATATTTCAAGGAGTTTGCGAGAGAAAAGGTGTGTGTGCGGTTGAAGCAAGAAATAGTGACGGTAAATATCTCACCGCACACACACTATATATATACACAGAATTTTCATTTCCTTTCCCTTATCCTTTAATTATTAACGTTAAAGCCCCTTTCACTCACCATTTTCTCAAAAATGAATTATTTTGAGGATTAATAAGAGATTAATTTCAAAATTCCTAATAATAAAAAAAAATAAAAATAAAAATTGGAATAAAATGAAATTGGAAATACTATTGACGACAAGGAAAAAATCAATTTAAACCTATATAAATTGATTTAACCTGTTGAGGTTTTGGGATCAAAGTTTTTAGACAACCATTATCCGCTTGTCGGTACCTTTCATATTCACATCTTTGTCTGGTCGATTGTCGGTATTGTTGTCCACTTAAACACGAAAAATTGTGACAAAATTAGGACACACTATGAGTGACAAGACAATGTGATCCTAAATTCCTAGATATTATATTCAAACCTAAGTTTCTAGATACTATATCTTAAGGATCAGTCAGCTGACGACGACCAGGGATATTGTTGTCCACCCAAATTGAGCAGCGAGATCTATAGACAATCTTTGAGTGTTTATTTTTAATTGTACTGGAACATGTTTCCCGCTTCCTGATATGCCCCAATCATCAAGAACTTCCACCGTACTCCTTACACCGGGTGAGAAAACAACCATTCAGAGAGAGGATAGATTCAGAATTCTATTACTTATTACTTATTACTTCAGAGGGTTGAGAAGTAGAAGGTTGCATATGCTGTGTACTAGGTCGGATTAGAAGTCGCGCAGAGGAGACATGATACGGCTAACAAATATAAAGTCTTTCACATATATAACCAACAGAGAAATAGAGTTGCATATGTTGTGTACCAGGTCGGATTGGAAGTCACGCAAAGGAGACAACATATGACTAACAGATGGAAAGAAAGAAAATGATATTCTATAGACCTAATTTATCGGAATTTACCAGTCGCCCCATCCAACCGGAATTAAAGATAGAATCCACACATCGAGGAAAACTTAAGCCACAATTCCAAGTACGGGTTCAATTAATGTGACGAGTAGATTCCCATATATATCTCCCTGCTCAACCTATCCAAGCGTCGTATTTTCAGGCTAAACGGAACTATCTAGGTCAAGATTTGTCAAGTCATTTGATTTCCTAAGTTCAATTTTGCCTAGTCATGTCCATTTAGAATCTTTCGTGCCTACCGACACATCAAACCAGAGCATAGACCCTTCAACTTTGGGTACATTATGCAGACTCAGGTTGCCTGTTATCACATTATTATATCACTTCCCAAAACATCTGCCTCAAGCATAATTTCTAATTTTCTAATTTTTATGGATTTTCTAATTTTCTAATGTTTTTGGATTTTCTAATTTTTTAATGTTTTTGGATTTTCTAATTTTTAATGTTTTTGGATTTTCTAATTTTCTCCCCCTAAATTTGTGCATAAAAAAAATAAAATAAAAATGCGCAAAGTTATGCTAAAAACATAAAAAAAAAAATTAATCCTCAAAACGAATCATTTTTAGAAAGTTAACCAGCACATCGAATTGAGCTTTGTTAAATGGCTTCGTGAACAGATCTACTACATTATTATCTGAGCGGACATGTTCTAGCCGAATGAGTGAACACTCATAACATTCTCGAATAAAATGAATCTTGATGTCGATGTGCTTGGTTTTTGAGTGCTGGACTGGGTTCTTGGCAATTTGGATCGCAACCTCATTATCACAGAAAATAGGGGTTTCTTGAAAATTCAAACCGTAGTCAAACAACTGATGTTGGATCCAAATGACCTGAGAACAACAAGCAGATGCAGCAACATATTCAGCTTCTGCTGTTGAGGTTGAGACTGTGTGCTACTTCTTGGACTGCCATGACACCAGTCTATCTCCCAAAAATTGGCATCCTCCTGAGGTTGATTTTCCATCAAGCTCACACCCGCCATAGTTGCTGTCAGCAAAAGCATAAAGATCAAATTCGGGATTTTTTGGATACCAAAGGCCCAATTTTGGGCATCCTTTGAGATACCGAAAAATCCTTTTAACAGCAATTAAATGAGAGAGTTTAGGATTAGCCTTGTAGCGAGCACATTGACAGACCGCAAACATGACGTCTGGGCGACTAGCAGTCAGATACATGAGTGATCCGATCATTGATCGATAATGATTCTGATCTACGGATTCACCCTCAATATCAGGAGTCAGAAGAGGTCGTTCCGCCATGGGTGTAAGAGCAGGTTTTGCGTCTCGAAACCCGAACTTCTCCAGTACATCATCCACATATTTTGCTTGATGAATAAGGATTCCGGCTGAAGATTGTTGGACCTGAAGCCCCAAAAACATGGGCATTTCCCCAAGTGAACTCATCTCGAACCGCTTCTTCATCACTGCTTCAAACTCTTTGCAAAGCTGATGGCTTGTCGACCCAAAAATGATGTCATCCACATAAATTTGAACGAGAATTTGATCTGGACCGACATGTTTGAGGAAAAAGGTTTGATCAATGGTACCTCGGGAATAGCCATGGTTGAGCAAATGCTGAATGAGAGTAGCATACCAAGATCTAGGAGCTTGATGCAATCCATACAAAGTTTTTCTAACTTGTAAACATGGTTGGGAAGGGTTGAGTTAACAAAACCAAGTGGTTGGTCAACGTAAATCTCCTCCTTGACCTTTATGTACAAGAAAGTTGTCTTGACATCCATTTGGTATACAGTGAAGTTCATGTATGAAGCATAAGCAAGGAAGAGACGAATGGCTTCCAAGCGAGCGACCGGAGCATAATCTTCTGTATAATCAAGACCCTCAAGTTGTCGAAACCCTCAAACCACCAATCTTGCCTTGTTGCTCACAATGACACCTGAATCGTCTTGTTTATTTCGAAATACCCAACGAGTATCAAGAGATTTCTTTCCATTTGGTAGCTCCACCAATTTCCAGACTCCGAGTTTCTCAAATTGATTTAATTCATCATGCATGGATTCAACCCAGCTGGGCTCATTCAGAGGCATTTCGACAGATTTGGGCTCTATTTGAGAGATGAAGCAAGAGTAGAGACATGTGTTAACCTCCCCACTTTTACTTATCGTTTGAACACTGTCGCCCAGCTGGCCAATGACGTTCTCTATCGGATGATCGCGCTGAATACGTGTAGGGATCTGATAGCTGATATCATTGACAGAAACAGGAATATTATGAATATTAACCGCTTCATCATTTGATGTATGATCCATAGAGGATGAACAAGGTTCATTTGAAGGATCTGCTACAAACTCTTTAGCAATATTTTCTGGAAAGAGAAGTTCCATCAGATTTGAAGTTACAGCGGAAGTCTCGTGGTTCATGAACTCTCTTTCCATTGGAGTTAAAGGAGTAGCAATAGCATCAAGAGAAGGTTGTTGAGGAGACTCAGAAGATTCAAAGTGAGCGGAGGGTACCAATGGAGGATCAGAGGAAATTGGTGGTGGTCGGTAGACAACTTCATCTTCTTCATCTTCAATAGGAATCTTTGAATTGAATGTAGACCCTTCTTGATTATCTGGAGTCACATTGAATGATTTGAAAAGAGATGTGTAGTTAAATAACCAATCAGGACCCACTCTTGCATTTGTCTCATTTTCCTCGAGCCAACGAACATCAAAGGATTCTACAATCTGTTTAGTCTTCTTATTATAAACCATGTACACAGTTCGAGCAACATATCCAACAAAGTAACAGTCATCGGCTTTGGCATTGAATTTGGGGTTGGATTCTAAGTGGAGAAGGGTGAAAGGGCAGCCAAATACTCGGAAATGACTGACAGATAGCTTGTGTCCAAA